CGAACAATGCAGTAACCGTTTGACATATGAGAGTACTGATGTTGATATATGTATCTATCTGACGAAGGAGATACCCACACTGTTAAAGGGAACTGACGCATTTTCTCTTTTCTGTTGAAACTGTAAAGTCATGGAATTTTTGACGAATAGTGGTCATTAGAAGCAGAAAATAACAGTCCATTCTGCTGATTGTTCTTATTAATATCAGTAAAAAAAGCTAATTTTAACTACATAATTTAAATCTGCTTCTGGAATTGCAATTTTTGCCATTCAACACACCATAAAAATCATTCAGAACGTTGGTTTTGAAAATACCTGAGGGTATCAAAGCTACACCTTCAAGTTTCAGTTAGAGGTCAGCAATTTGATTATGTAACTTCAAAGTGTCACACCCTTTTAGACATATTTGACAATTATTGAACGAAAGAAAAACATAATCTTGTAGGAAAAAAATTAAAACGATTTTTACAACACACACATTTATCGGCACCAACTTGTAGGCAATGGAAGTTCCCAGTGAAGAAATTACTTCAAGTGAGAAGGATCAAACAGAGACAAAAATGACTGTGAAACTTTTTGTTTTACACACATGTATTGTCAATTTGGCCTTAACATATCTGGAGACAGCGTTATCACAGGTAATCACGGTGTACCTCATGGTATATTGCTTTTCTCTCAGTATTATCAGTATCGAAAATGCTTTGTATGGCACTCAATATATTTTGGGCATGTAGCGCACCAAACGCAGAGGTGTGTCAAGGTCTTCTATACCATATATCGATGGTCACCGACAAGACTGCAATAAGAAGGTTAAAGCTTGGAAGACACTGAGAAATCCAGAAGAACTTGCAAATGCACTGGTACTCCGAGGTCCAAGAGAAGGCAGACCCAGACGAGGTAGAATAAAGCAGGCGAGCACGGATAAAATGTTGATAAGACACCAGACAGGATGACACAAATTAGACAAGAGCCAGGAACTCTGATGATGGAGAGAGAAGCCTGGGGAAGTTGTGCTGTGGCTGTTGAACTAATGATGATGATGATGATGATGATACAATGATTCAGTAACTGTTAACACTGGCGTTACACGTGGTTGGAGAGAGAGAGAGAGAGATCATCTCAATTTATTTCACCCAGCAGAGGTACATGTAGGAGGAGGACGATGTGCACGGATAACCTGCTGGAAGACACCAGATTGAAGGGCACAAATTAGCCGAGGACTCTGAGGATGGAGAGAGAAACCTGGAGAGGCTGTTGTCAGACTGATGTTACGTGCGGAATGAGCACGACATGTGGTTATTATATAAGCAATGAGAGAGAAAGAAAGATGACATCCCAGTTTATTTCATCTGTTATTATTACCCCTGTTCTGATTACTCTCTGATCACAACAGTCGCTTGTAGTCTCTTGCAAATTAGTGGAATCGTCTCTTCTTCAGTTTTGTATGCTATACTAGAGACCCCTGTGATACCAGAGGGAATTTGTTCTGGTCATATTCATATTCATAAATTAATAAGAAAACGAGGGAGTGAGCGGATGGCCATAATAGACGAATGATTGAGATGAAGAAAAAGGGAAATGTAGTCGAATTTTAATTAAAAAGTGCGAAAAACTTGGTATAAGGAGGGAAGGGTGTAAAAGGGTATTCAGGATTTTGTAGCTGCTTCAAGAGGTAAACGGCGACCGGGATGGAGGGATGGGGGAAAGGGACGACAAAGCCGATAACAACGCGTCCCTTCTGTCGCGTCCCCCGAACTGGTTCTCTGTTGTAGCACAGTGTACCCAGCCATTGATTTGCTTACCAATTAGCTCCTCATCTCAAGACTACGTCTCCAATACAGTTACAGTGTGACTTCGGCTAATGGATACATGTCACGTTATCCAACGACACCAGGCGCGATCCATTATTTAACACCCAGCTGCTCCTACGGGGGAGCTTAAGGGTGTCACTTTAACTTCTGTCAATGCCATATGACGGGAAGAGTTTGGTAAATTTAATTCTTAATTTCCAAAGCGGCAAAAGAGGATTTGTATTCCTCGGGGCGAATTTGATTCAGTTCCCTTGGCTTCCAAGTGTGTATGCCAGTGTATGTGTGTGAGTGACAGGGCGGTAGTGACAGTGAAATTGAATTGTCCCAAGAGAGGAAGATGAATTGAGATGGGCAAGACGAACGAATGCAAATAAATAAGACAACGGCACAAACCTATTTTGAATTAAAGAAAGAAAGAAAGAAAAAAGAAATGTCTGTTTGCTTTTCCATCCCGGCCACTTGTTTTGCAAGTACCAGTATCGGCCGTGTCGAGATTTGATTACAAATCGCGCTTAATATTTATTTTTGATAAAGCATCATGCTTGATAAACTGATATGTTGACGGTGTTATTCAAGAGATATTTGATTTAGGATCGGTGAAACTGAGATGGCGATTTTATAAAGATTGTCAGAGAATAATAGCCGTTTTAAGTGCAAGCGAGCAGTTAATAATGACACTCGCATTCAGAAGATAAACAATATCACATCAAGCCTATCGTAATTCAAGGATTCATTTGATGCGGGCCTGTTGACATAGGAAGTAGAGAAATCACTTTGATTGTATGGACTCTGGTAAATTAATGATCACTTAGATTATAAGTTATAATAATAAAGGTGCCCTGTTATACATTATTAATGCAATAATCCTTCTACTGGTGACAAACACTCAAGCATTAAGAAAAACCTGTATCAAAAAATGTAGTTTCAAGTTCTGTAAATGTAATTAAGTTACATTATTTTAACCGTGTAAATTTCTACAAAGTAGCCTACTAATAGGCTTCATGCATGTACATGTAAAAGATATGCTTCTAAATTCTGAACTGCCCCAGTGCGAATTAAACTGATGAAAAGAATTCGTAGAACCTCGTACTAGAAATATACAAATGTTTAAATATTCTTAATATTGTTGAATAAAAATGTCACTACGCCAACCAATTTTCAAAAGTTGGCCAATTCTATATTAAGGTCAAATAATCTTTCCAGGAGCTATAAACTGTTAATATTTTTGTTTTTATTTTATCAAAAATAACTTTATTCAAACGTTATCTTCATTGCAGGTCGTTGTTATATTTATTGATAGGTGTATTTAGGTTATTCTGGGAAGAACGTCATTCAATATCTAAAACCAAAGGTCAAGTCGTTTGACAACTTGATCTGATCTTTTTACTTGTAAAATTATTTTACTATCATTTGATTTGCTGTCTACACCGTTGTACAGTTACTCTTCGCTGCACTTAAGCCATTAATGTTGCAACCCTTCTCATCAATTCGCTAACAGTAATCTGTTCTTGTTAGCTCAAGAATCATTTATATTTTGGTATATGACTACAACCACCCTTATTGAAATCGCTATCATCACTATTAATTATAGAAATAACACTTCGATTGTCATCAACGTGGTTTTATCGAAATGGGATTTCTGTTAATTAAATCAGCACCTTTTAAGGCGTCTGACCCCAAATAACCTTTCTTAACCTTAACAGATAGCGGCTACCTTTGACTGAAGTGTTGAACAGTGGGACGCACTCTCATATCTTATCGATGGATGAGACATTAAGTCAGTGTTCAGAAGCTGTCGCGAGATGTTGACCTATGTTTCATTGCTCAATTTACACGTTTACAGCGCCTAATACATTATGTACGACATCAGGGTTCGCTTCACGCCTTTCGCTTTATTAGATTAGCCTGTCTCCATTGAAGCGTGTTAAAATACGTCAATAAATCTTGTCCCAGGTTGAACTGCAGTTGAACTTGACCGAAGTTATCCGACTTATATGACATAATGTTATCTTTTTGATTTCTTTTTTTTTCTTTTACTTTTTGAAATTCTTTTTGGTGGCCTATTGTCATTTGAGCGTGCCAGTTAATGGTGTTCCTTATTGAACTACTGTTGACGTGACTGAAATTAAGCTATTATACATTAGAACATGACGTTTCATTATTATTTTGTCCAACATTTCTTCTTATTGTGGCGGTTTATTCAATCGCTATTTTCGAGTGCTAGGGGAAGCCGTTGCATATGCTTTTTTTATGCGGCAAGAATTTTATATTTAAAAAACCATGTAACCACTGGGCTATGTGTGGCATGCTTACCATATTTGTATAGCTCTAGGCATTCTCACAATACAAACGAAAAGTACAATTCTCATAGATAATGGCTTTCTTATTTCCATTTTTTGTAGTTATCATTTCGTTTCGTTTTTGTTTTACTGTTGTCGACATTGATGTATGGTGTTAACATTATACAGATATTTAAGATAAAAAGTCTTTATTCACCGGTTTTAGTGTCGTTCACACGAATATGACATGGCGTTCCTCTTCAAAACAGTTTTTATTCCATCGTTACCTTTTAAATCCGACCAACATGATAGTGATTAATGAGACATTCGGTCTAACATAACGATTTAAGTTTCTAGCGTTTGAAATGAATACTTAATTGATTGATTTTAAGCATCTCATTGAGAAAATTTGCTTCTTTTTTCTTTGATATTATCTGAAAAAGGATATGATATTACTAAAGGAGATGCTTGCTCGTGCACCTCACAAAAATACTGATCGAGATTAATAACTATCATTAATCATTTCAACTACATGCGTGAATTATTCTTTTTCTTTTCTATTGAATATTTTAGACAGTTATGTCATATTACCATACAGACAATACTCACGCATGATGAAATAGGGCCTATTAGTATCAAGAAAAACAAAATTTCATGAATACAAACGTCTTTAATTAACTCACAGTCTCTGTGAAATAAATCCCGTATTACCCAAGATTTTGTCAATTCTCATGTTATTATATGTCTTAGCTCTGCCCGGGCTTCAAAGTCCCATTTAATTTCTACTTCAATTTTCATGGCCTACAGACACCCGGTATTTTCAGCTAAGTTGTAATTTCTTGTAAACATTTCGGTGTTGACTGCGGGTTATTTTGATACAAAACAAAATATTTTTTCCTTCTGATTTCAGAACACAGGCACGTTGTTTGAATTTGGCCACGCCACAAAGGAAGATGATTTCCACCCCCATCAATCGATTTCGGCATATCAGCGCCCGTGTCACACGCTCGGTAAGTATTTATCAGTTTGTAGTTTACATCATAATTTAATATAGTTCAAAATTTCGACCGATAAACTAAACAAATAGTATCACCTTTGGTGTGAAGCCGATTGCAGATAGGGCAACGAGTCGAACGGGCCCTTCAAACATGTTTTTATCTAACTTTGTATTATAAGCACCTATCCTCAGATAATTTAACACAAAGATCCTTGTTCTGACTTCATCTTGTGAGGCGATAGTAAACATATTAAACTTGTGACGGGTCTCGGGCGCTTGTACCGAGAGAATAACACTGAATAACTTTCCTATGCCGTAATACCCGTGTAGATTACCGGCCTGTATTCTGACTGGCGATATCAGAAAGGGTTATCCTTTACAGGTTATCTAGCCATTGAAAGAGCCTGCAGCACCTGTCAAATGCACAGATTATATTGTATTAATTGATTATCGTCTACTGTTTGCTAGAATCAGCTGTTTTTTTTTTTTTTTTCGGAAGAATTTCATAAAAAAAAACTCATTTACCGTTACAACAATGCTGTTTCTTGTGAGCCTTTGTCTGTCGTATTGTTTTTAACATTGTCGTAAGTTTCAACTCAAAAACACGTAGATTGACTGTTTTTACAAAAGAATAACACCTGAAAATGGCGGGAACTGGTTACACGTAAACCTTAACAGTGCCATTCCTGAAAGCACCTTGAATATAAGTATACAATAACTGAAACTTATCATTAATAGAGGTTTTCACATGCGTGGCCATTGACAGCATCCCCAATCTGTCGACTGTTTTCACATTCTTGATTATTTCTTAAAGCAACAACTACAGGCGATGGCTTCATATTCAATATGTTTATTGTCTAGTTTCTGATATCATTTAGTGATGTTTTGACTCCTTTCTTGATTTGACGTATTAAACTCTACAAACGTAAGTACACATATTTTACATACTTTTACACCACAGCGTATCGCTATATATGCACTGGGTGTTTTCATGTTTAAAGTCCTTAAAGACTTGGTTTTTGCACCTTTGTGATTTTTTTCAATCGTTTTTCTTTGAAAGGCCTAGATAAGAATTACATGAAACCACATACATTTGCCATATTCTAATAATTTTCCTGTACACGACACTAGTTTTATGATTCACATTTAAAAACACACGTAATACTCAAAGGGATTAGTACAGAGTAAAACTTATTGACAGAAAAATATATATTTATAATCATTATCAAATTCCACAATTGAATACTACAAATATATTGTCAGAATTTATCTAACTTTTAGATATAATCTAATCAAATGATTAACAGAACCTTATCTTATCCTAGCTTAATCCTTTGTATCTTAGTCTAACTGCTCTTCTTCTCTATCTAATGATATGTTAATCGGGCACGTGTGAATTGAAAGCAAGCTTGATTACGTGGTTTTGGTCTAACCTGTATTTTCTACAAATCTCTCGCGCGCGTGCGTATGCATGCAAACGCGCCTTCACAACCTAAATCTATGGCAGTTACTACTAACCTTTGTAATGGCACATGAACACTATTCCCAAGAAACTTACCGAAAAATCATTTCTGCTCTTACTATTCCCAATTATCTCACTGAACTCGCTTAAGATAATTTCTTTGATTAGCAATTAAAGCACAAATTGACGACAGAGTCACCCCGACACACACACCAGCGCACTTCAGTCTCGAGAGGGTGCCCGCCATTCTCATGTCATTTTTTTTCGCGCGTGACAGGCAGTCAGATGGGAGCAGAAATTACAACGATAGAAATCGAAATTCAATCTTTTCTCAGTCACATCGTACTCCATAATTATCAGAGTACCAAGGGGATGGTAATGAAATTACCACTGATCATGCTCTCCTAGTAGTACGAGAAGACGTACGGCGTGTTATCTGTGGAATTCATTCAGCTTTGCTAATGTCGGGGTTGAACGTTTATAAGGTGACGAAGGGAAGAGACAGGGCGCACTTTAGGATGCATTTATGGATGAAGTTCTTGTGATCTTTGGGCGCGTGACATAGAGTTTGATTTAGATCGATTTACTCAGAATGTGATAATGGTGAAATGAAAAGGGTTTTCTCTCTCTCGCTTTGCAAAATTTGCGAAGCCATACTCCAACCGTATATCAACAAAATTTTGAAATTTTGATTTACAAAAATGAATTCATTGACAGTTAAGCTAGGCGTCATGTATGTACTGCTACTATTTTTCTGTCCATAACCAAATACTCATTTTATTTTTACACCAAATATTCATTTTTAATGCAGTGTCTTTGCATCTATAAAATGGATTTTCCAACTATTTCCCCTTTCACATCCCTCAGATAAATATCTGCTGTTTTCATTTTCTGTCTCAGATTTTGATATCTGAAATGCAGGGGGAAAAAATCAATACATATGAACCTCCTCCATGGGGGGCTGCCACGTGCAGTATTAATAAAATCAGCGAGTTTGACATTGGGTGTCCCCAGTTCAAATGACAGTTCAGACAGTTCAGAGCAGACAATACCGAGTTGAGCGCAGACTACAAGGGAGCTCATCGGTGACCAAACTGACATGGAAAATGTTATGCGGTTACAAAAGCTCAAGCGCTTCACTTAATCTTAATATGCAATTTAACGGTGTCGGGGACACGATAAAGGGGGTCGCGCACCTTGCATTGATTCAATCACAGCTATACATTACAATACAGATAAATTCTATTGAACTTCAGAGACAGTAACTTCATATTTACCGACCTTTAAGAGTGTCTGATAGCGCTACCCTCGTGTGTATTTAAAACGATTCCACGGCGAGTTCAACCTGGAGACATTTTTTTTTACTATTAAAAATCAAATAATCTCTCTACAGAATCATGACACACCACAAGGACGCTAATGACACACCTCCTTCCTCCATTTTCATTTCAAATATTAAGTGGCGAAAGCATTAAAGAACAAAAAATTCAAAGTGCCTCAAATGTCGACTTCATTTAAAATTCCACAGGGCAATCTATAACTTCGGGTTTTCTTTTCATCCGCCCCTCTAATTAGCACAAAAACAGGAATCCTTTTTACGTAGTTTATAGTCTCTGTGACGTACCACACACAGTACGCGGCACGACGGCTGTGAAAGTCGCTATATTTGAATTAATCCAGACATGAAACAACTTCATAACTTTTCTGAATAACCGTTACTGTTTGACTGAACAGATTCTCCCCGACAACGCCCCCAATACATACTTTAAAACAGAAAACGCAACAACAAGGGCATTTGTCTACCCGGCGTTCCGAGAAACCTCAATTTCAGCGTCGAAACTGTCATTCGAACTTCCCTCGATGACATCAACACAAATTCATAAAACTTTCACTTTAATCACGCGTATTGGTCTTAACAGAATTTTCTCAGAATTGTACGCCACCTGACATTTAATGTTCAATGTTATGAGACTTAAGGCTTTATATTCGATCTTTACGGATATTGCTTATCACGGCGGGTCTCGGCAGACTCCCTCTTAATTCTGCTATTTCAATTCCGAGCAGGAGCAAGGAGCATCCGCAACGCTGGAAATCATATTAGCCACTAATAGCGTTTAATCGATGATCTGCTTTAAAACACAAGGCCTTGCAGTAGTCATTACTTAACGACGCCATATTTACGTGACCTCTTTTTTACGTATTGTTAAATAGACCTTTTATTTGTAAACGTAACCGTAGTTAGGCACACAATTCTACAAGACAAGCTAACAGTTAAAGTCACGAATGTTAAACACTGACCTGCAATTTTACCACCAAGTTACATGATAATGTCGAACATTAATTGTGTATTGCTTGGCGCATTGCTTGACGCATTGCTTGCAGCACAGCTTGGCGTGCTTTAAAAATAAAAGCCTTGACGTTTTTAAACCGAAAATCACACAAACAGTAAATCATACATGTAGCAAAATATAAAATTAAACAAACTTACCAACAAATGATCAAGTACATCCCTGATTCACACAATAAAGAATATGTTTCTGTCTCTATATGACCTAATGAAACACTATTACTTATAAATATTGTAATGTGGCATACTTAATATATAATAAATTATCAATAAGAACATCACTAAAAATAAATTAATTCTTGCCTGACAGTTTTTTCGCTTAGTCCCATATGCCTGCGTCCCTGAGGGTGAAGTCACTCGTAAGTTTTTTCTAGAATACATGTGCATTTAATGCTCCTCAATTATTTCACAGAAAGCGTCACGGAAACTTAAACTAAAATTACTTAATTTCTGTCTTAAGATGTGTAGGAAGTTTATTATTGATTTTCACCGAAAAAGCGCTGTACGGTAAATGTGTTGACGCGGGGTATGACCCACCCAACGTGCCAGACCGTAGAAGTCCCCCAGAGTTCGTGCTGACGGTGACAGCCCCTTCGGGAGGCATCACTGACGGTGTGACTGCCGCCGTGGGATGACCGCCGCTCGGAATGCTATGCGCATGCGCTGTAAGCCTGCTATACGCAGGGTGTGTGAGTCCAGAGGGTCGGTGTAAACCCGCCACGGCGTACGCACCTCCAAGACCCCACTGCAGATGTCCCTGAGCAAGGGACAAACCTTGACTGTGCCCCAACGAAGGCAGGGCTGATATCGAATGTTCGAGCTTTGCTCCCGGGGAGGAAGAGTTGCGCCTTTCAAGAGACGAGTCGGTTGACGTTGCTACGTCAGCCAAGGACCAAATTTTCGGCCTTGTTTCGCTGTAAGAGGTGGACGGCCTCGGAGCGTCCGCGGAGTCTAATTTAAAGAAATCACCACTCAAGTGACTAGATGATGTTTTGTTCTGAGTGTCCGTCTTTTCCTCTGTTTCAGCATGCTCTCCCTGAGACTGTGAAAGCGATTTATCTTGGCGGCTATTGTTGGAAAATGTGCTTCTTTCTTTGGTTTCCTCGCCAGTAAAACCTAATCGGATGTCGTCTGAAAATATTAAAATATATTTTCAACAGAAACCTAAAATTTAAGTCAAAACGATGATCTGAAGTAAAAAAAATGTAAATGTTTATTAGTAAAGCACCAACCTGAATGGAAATATAGATAAACATCAAAATTGACAAAACTCTCGCAATAACAAATCAACGAGCAAATCCTATTCAAACTGCAATGACACGAAACATACATATGTATGAAAACTGAGCCAATTAAAAAAAAGAAATAAAGATAACACATAAAACTAAAAAATAAATTCAAGAATAAATAAAGACAGAATAAAAAAAAATCATATTCACGTTAGTAAAACTAGAACGGCATTTTCGTTTTCTACGGAAAATAAAAAAAAATGGTGTAGCAAAACGATAAGAACTACTCAAAAATATTTTAAAACATGGTAAGACCTAAGTTTCCAAGGCAAAAAGTAGGCCAAGTTGAAAAAAAAACCTGCAAACCCAAGACCTTTTCATTCCAATAGATTAAGATTAAAGCGTACAGTGGTACAAGTAAACACGCAGAATAATGTCCAGTTCACACGATGGGTTTCAGATCTACGTCCTACATGCATACAACACGCACGGAACAGTTCTGCTTTGGTTAACGCGGTTCGTCAAAAACTCATCGTGTAAACTGGCCTCTTCCAGTGGCAAGCGTAACTTCTATAGGCATAAACCTGTCATCACTGTCAGAAGCTAAATGTGCGTCTGAATTCCTTGCACCTCATAGACATGGGGTTTACGAGCGCAGGGGGGCAAGTACAAATCCACACATTTATTATTTGCGTGTTTTCCCGTTAATGGATCCTTTGTTCCCCCTAACAAAAACTTGTCCAAAATTTGTCGTCCCGTTTAGCATCGCCCAGTTCAGGATTTTTGGGGAGAAAAGTATCAATATACACTGGCGAGAATCCTCACAAAAAAGGGAGCTGTTCTTTTAAAAATTAACTGTATTGGGTATTAAAATTAATATCACGATAAATAGTCAAATGGCTAAATGCTTCAAAATGAATGAAAATAATTTAGGCTTTTCAAACGTTGAACTAACAATGTAAAATATTCTGGGTTTAATGTGTAAAAATCACGAATTAATTACACACGACAGTCCTCCCCAGTCTAAAGAATTTCCCCTAAGTTTAACTAACAATATGAAAATACCGGATATAATGAGAGAACGCAGTGAAAACAACGCCAGTCTTGAAGTTACCGAAGGCTAATATCCTAACCTACCGTACGTAGCCCAGACAATACCCTGTTGTTTTTGAAAATAGCTCTAAAACACAGCAAAATACACTGCATTGTATATATTATTAAAGTAAAACAGTGTCGCGGACTCAGTGATTGTTTATAGGGTGTATAGTGTGATTTGGACCACACTTAAGATTTTTCAGAAGTTCAAAAAAGATACTAAGTCAGCGCAGGGGTAAAAATGTTCACAAACTTTAAACTCAGCTTTTTTATCCGACCAAGTTATCATATAGTTTGAAGACACTTATAATAAAGTATATAAATAAAATTTTCTAATACATGGTGGTCTTAAATAACACTGTAGTATAAAATTGAGATTTTTCTTTCCAGATTATCTACCATTCATAATGTGCTACAGGCCACATTAAAACTAGGGAATAACTGATGAAATTTCCACAAGTTTCACAAAAATCAGCACTGTAACTCTGCATATCAATTTCTTAATTCGTAATCAGTCGATAACCTCATATTATGCACTTTTCAATCGATCATAAAGAGCCGCAGTAAGTATGTATTCTAGAGGTTATCGCAATAACTCAACTTGTGTTCATACATGTACATCAGTTTCGATGCCAACAAAATGAAAAAAAAGGAAATTCCTACGAGAAAATGGCATAGTACTACGCATACTATAACCGTGGGTTTAATAGATAGATTAACTGCCAAATTCTATGAAATGTAATTACTGTTTACAACCGCTGACATCGAGTATTACCACGAGAAAATGGCATTGTTCTCTTACTCGGCACGAGATAGCCGCGCGATTTAACGGATGAATCAACCGCTAACTTCTATCACGGGACTTCTAGGAAATGCTATTACTGCTTTTAATGGGAAGATAGTAATTTGCAAACATCCAACTTGGAAAAGAAAGAAAAATATCTGGACTGTCTTCTGCTGGAGTCTGTCTCGAAAGTCGTCTGCTGGGGTTTCAGAAATCGGGCATGAAATCGACAAATATGTCAATTTCCGTGTCGTCTGTTGGGCAGAAGACAAGCCGCGGGATAGACGAGGCGAAATAAAGAAAGTGAACTACATACATGAAATATGTGGTATGAGCCGAGTGCAATATGTTGCTGAACTACTCTCCACTCAGGAGCTGTGGACCACGCTACTGCCTTGCCCGATTCTCTTCTGTGCCATACTGTTCATGTTTTATATGTTTCAACTTTTCTTTGACTGTAAGTCTACGTCGTTGTACACGTTATTCTAATGTCAATTACTGCACGAATTATATTTCTGTGCGTAAACTGCTAAAAAAATAACCCTTTTAAATAAAGGGGAGCAATGCGGTAAAAAATGCGTCTAGCTTGCGACCCTGGTGACCAATTTTACCCTGCAAAGGGGGCTCCTGTCGACGAAAAATGCCCTTCGGACAAACGGGTAGTTGCTCGCAATCTCTATTCTCATATATCATGGTTAGGACCACCATGAGGATTTGTGATTTTCACAGCTTTAAGTATCGTCTTTACGTTGAAATTTTTATTAGCAAGACCTTTCTACAAATTGGCCTCTCTTCCAACGCTGCCATACGTTTTGCCGTTCCGGGAGAGCATTTCGACGTGCTTTGTCAAGCACGGGGAAGAAAATATGTATATTGCTGTTTAATGCCGCTCGATAACCAGGCGCATTTTTAGGTTAAATTTGACCAAAATATAGACTTACATAGTCAAATCAAAATTTAAAAAATGACGTCAGATCAGCACGATCAAGATATGTCCAAATTCAATTTCATGCCCTAAATTGTGTTAAAATTACATCCTGCTAATTGGTTTCGTTATGTCATGTGAGGAAGGAAAATATACCTTTACATTTTTAAAAATCATATTTGGGATTAAAAAAAAAACTTTCTGTGTGGTGCCAACCAAAAGGTGTGTGATCCAGATTAGCGTCTTATACAAGGCTATATCACCACTGGAGATCATTAATGTCATGTCATAACAAGCAAAAACACCAGGTTTTAGACACTCTCTGCAAGTCTAGAACGCCCAGAATTTTGTGGGGAAAATTATTTTAACGTATATGATATACCAAAGATTTTATTCAGAATCTGTAAAGTTCTCTCACATTGCCGTTTCATCCACTCAAATTGGCGTCCAGAATCAAATCACACGAAATTAAACTGGACTTTTGGAATTCTTAAATTTTGTGAACATGATGTGAATAAGCCACTAAGTAAAATGAGTTAGAGGTAGTTAAGACACGGGTCTTGAATAAACGGGACTACCAAAATAGTCTTCATAAAGGACCCACTAAAAGGTACGTGAAAAAAGGGGTAGGCCTATTTTAATCTGAAAATATATTAGATTTTTTAACTTCTAGTATTTTAAAGTGAAATATCAAACTTTAAGTCGTTGGGATAGCTTAAATCTGAGTGAAAGCAATGATCTGATTAGCTGCACTAAATATTTTGTACTGAAAAAAAGAGAGAATAAAAAAAAACGGCGCGTGCCCAATGGCTACTGTGTATCGGTGTGAGGGAAAATAGAATCCCTCTGTGTTTACGCCATTCTAACTAAACCGGGGATGAAAGAGGAAGTCTGTAAAGTTGAAAAGAAACTCCTGAGGCAATGTATCACAGAGTTCACACTTTCCCCGTCGATTAAAAATCCTGTTTAGATGTCTGATAGCTTCAGCCTAGAGAAACGAGGCTATGTCATGTAGCAGACGATCAAATTATCCAATCACCTCCAAGAAGACAACGCTCGATTGTGCTTCCACAATGGACGATCCTCCACGTAACCTCGAGCCAAGAGAGAAATTATTTTCGAAATGCGAGTCACATTCCCCTAGCTTCCCTTTGAAATCAGCAGACACCATAGCTTGTTTTACTCACATCAAAAATGAGATTTCACACAGAGATCGAGGTCACTCATAATATTTGATGAAATTAAAGCTATTGTTTACATGGCTCTTGTTTGCCCTGGGTAACTGGATTGAGTTCAATAAAAGGAGTTCGTGTTACAGTGAAAAATGGGATCTGGATGGGGGTCGATATGAGTTGACAACATTATACTTTTTTGAATGCTTATATATGTTACACATAACGTTATCAGGACGAGAAGAACACCTGAAAACAAAGCAAATCGATAGTCACAAATGAGTTGTGTACTTGTTAATACGTCTAGAATCGGCAACCGTGGCAGAGGAGAGGCTATTATCTGTTTCTAATGAGGTAGCAGAAATGTTTGTTTTATGGAAAAAATGAAAAAAAAAATTACTGGATACACTAAGAGGGGGTAGGGGTAGCGAGGGGATAGTGTTTCTGGCTGGATGGGTAGGTGGGTGGGGTATCAAGGGGGAGGGGGTATTCCTACATGAAAGGAATGAAAAAAACATTGCTGACAAGCTGAAAAATAAGCAAATAGGTTTACTCACTGTTGTGAGTGTTTTTTTTTTTTTGACAGTTCAGGACAGGCCAAATTAAGGTAGTGTTTTTCAAAACTGGCCCTATCATCCATTTGCCTGAAAATATTATGGATCCATAGATCAATCCATAAAGATGATCTGAGCCTTTCAAGCAATTTTCTCTCGTACCCAAATTCATCACCATCTTGCACTCTAAATGAGCAGGTCCATTACACTCATCATGCTATAAGCAAAAGTTTAACACCCGTTCATAAATGAAATCGACAGTAAATATGTCAGCATGAAGAATGCTGGAAAATAAGTCGAGTTGGCAATACTGACCCCCTCCTCCCAGCCCCCCCCCCCCCCCCCCCCAACCACACACACTTAATCTCCCGT